GTTACGGAGAACATTAAAAAAAACTGTAAATTCAAAATTCCCGTGTGATTATTATGGAGAATATTGTAAAATGTTGCAGTTTGCTTGTTTATGGACTTATTTTGTTGAAACTTGGTAAATTTATTTATTATATTATATTTACCAAGCAATTAATATTTTACTAAAAACACACTTTATTAGCCTCCCTGAAGTAGCAAACCTAAGTACTCGTTTAACCTAATGTTATTTAAATAGATTTAATTGTAAATTTTAGTAAGTTTAGTGATCGCAATTCAGGCAAATGGAAATTTGCTTAGTCTGCAGGGTTGCTGCGGCGGGGGTGTTGTTATGTTTCGTTTATGTTGAGAGCAATTTAGTGCTTCTTACATCCTTAGTAAAAACTTAAACGGAGTGAAATACAGAATACAGTGGTTTAAACGTGACTAAACCTAAAATATTTCGAAAAAATCTTCATATATTTTTTTATTCAGGATTAGAAGTCTTAATAAATATACTGTATCCAAAGTAAAAACTGTTGCGCTTAGCTAAAGTTTACTTTCCGTATAATATCTCATTACATACCCAGTTGTTCAATATGACCATTTTTATAGTTTGTATAGTTCGCCTTCCAGAATTATTACCTGTAACGGAGGTTGGGACTGTTTAATTTAAAACCTCTCATGGCTTCGACGTCACCTTTTCTCCGTCGTCGAACTCGTCCAAAATAACGCCATTCATGTCGATATCTGGCCTGCTGCCTCTTGGCTCATTGCCTACGTTGATTCAACTGATAGACAGTAAACAATCCCCTGCCCACCTCTAGAGGATACGGGCACGGGGTTTGTCCTTAAGACGCTAGGCACGACGAGCAGGGGATTGTTTTTCACATTACTTCAGGCTAGAAAGGGTTGCGGCATTATCACTTCGGCCAAATAACAGAAAACATACTACTATTACCTAGTAATAGTAGGTAATAGTAGTTTTTTTTTCTGTGGTCAAATCCATTGGTGACTTGTCAGGTTTTGAACCCGGGACCTCAGGGACCGAAGAAGTGCAGCTCTCCGCTCCCCAGTGCACACGGTAGGCTACCGGTACTTGTTAATGGGTAAATTCCAATCAAATTCTGCAATTTTGTTTATTTCATACTGAGCTATCAAAATTTTAATAAAAACGCACCTTGTTAACTTCTCCGTAGCAGCAAACCTAAGTACTCATTAAACCTAATGTCATTTAAATAGTGAATTAATCAAATATGTTTAAGGAAATATGTTTGTCCAAATTTAATAAGGCAAATGGAAATAAGCTTAGTCTGCAGGTTTGTTGCGGTGAGGGAATTTACATTTAGCGATAAAGGTAGAGGAAGATTGTGGCCATCGACCAATTTTGCATAACTCCACAATAGATTATGTTTTCTGTGACGATAGATCTTGTTCACTCATTCGGTCTATGTTAATTACTATTACACTAAGACTAATTAATTAATTACTATTACACGTAAGAAATGTCTTTGACGTCTTCATCCACGTCAATATTAGACAGGAAATTACACGGACCGGGAATTATTCGAAGATTGTGCAATCATATGAAAGTAGCCCCACTATAGTCAATATGATAAATCGTATCCTATTTGATTATGTTATCAAGTGGCGTAGGCCCTATATAGAAACTTCAAAGTTGCTGGTGAATTCTTTGATTATTCGTTCGTTTCGTATCGTTGATTAATTTACTAGTAATATTTAGGGTCTTTCACAACTTGTATTTGAAAATGACTCGACGATACCACAGGTTAATAAGTTGACAATTATGTCGCATCCAATAGACAAGAAGAATTAAATATAGACTGTCAGCCGTGTTGCGGTTACCATAGGTTCTGGCGCACACCGCTGGGAGCGCCGTTTAGTTTCGTAGCGCGTACGCCATAACTACATGGCGCTCCCAGCGGTGTGCGCCATAACCTATGGTAACCACAGCACGGCTGACAGTCTATATTTAATTCTTTTTGTCTATGATATTACACAACCGTAGATAATTATTTATTGGGTTTTCACAGTATGATTCAACTTTGTTCTTATCTCCTCATATGAATCATATCATGAACAGTCAATAAGCTAACATAGAACGTGTAAACTGCCAAGCCTACAGAGCTTATCGGTGTTTACACGTCATGACGGAGTTTTGTTTTCTACAAAACTTAACTTAACTTGACTGCACTTTGTCATCAGCCAAGCTTCGGGTTTAATAATGGTCGTTCGGAGTTTCCCTAAGAAGTGGTAGTGGACGATTTTAACGCAAACCTACGTCAGGGTAAGTATTATTTTCAGTACCGATGTAACGACTTAGGTTATGAATGTTTAAGCAATGTTTATGTAAATGCACTAGTGGCCGATAGATTTAGTTAGTTTTAACCATAGAATATAACTAAATACAGACCGACAGCAGTGCTGCAGTTTGCATAAGTTCTGGCGTCCACAGCTGGGAGTGCCGTGCGCTCTCAGCGGTGGACGCCTTAACTTATGCCAACCGCAGCACTTCTACTGCTGTCGGTCTATATACAAATATACTCACAGTTATAGGTTGCATACGTCACGATTTCGAAATTATTTTACGTTGTTCAATAGTTTACGGGAACTCCTTTTCACACAGTGAGATAATTATTTACGATTATTTCCCACAAACTTTAGTGCCTAACTAGAAGCACGTAGTAAATAGTGAGACACATGATCAAAGAAGAGAGTCGCGTCGGCCAGTCGAATCTTGTTTTTGCATCAATGCTTTCCAGGCATTTACTACAAAATATATTACACATATTTTTCTTAATCTTTTCATAACCCTTATCACACCTTGACCCTAAACACCCTATGGTTCACTAGACGGTGGCAGAGCACAAAATATAAATTTCTATTCTGTGCTCTCTGGACGTTGGCTAGTACGTCACTCGCCAACGGCCATACCACGTTGAATATACTTACCGGTTCTCGTCCGATCACCGAAGTCAAGCAACGTCGGGCGTGGTTAGTACTTGGATGGGTGACCGCTTGGGAACACCACGTGCTGTTGGCATTTTTTTTTGTATTTTTAACCATATTTTAGAGCGAATGGCTATGATATCCAATTAACGGTCGAGTTTTGTATGATATTTTTCCTACCACTACATGGAAATGTGGGTACATTTGTACATGTAAGTAAATTGCCAATAATGCCAATGATAACAAAAGTGTCATTTTCCCTATCATGTAAGCGTGATGCATGCAACATGCATCAAGAGAGCGCCCAGGGCATTTGGTTGTTTGAGAAGGACGGGGACAAAAGAACCCTACGACTGTGCAGCTTCAAGCGTAGAAAGATAATATTACGAGGGTCTTTTATCACAAGTTTTTATTTTTCATTTTGTGTTTGTCTAAGCCATTTCCATTTTTAACTTCATTGTAGTTGTTAGCCTCCGGATTGCCAAATAATATTAAAAAAGGTTCAAATACCTGCTATTAAGCAATCCAAATTTGTTGTTAGAACAACTAGTTTCGGTGTCTGTGTGACACCATCATCAGGCTGCACAAGGACAGTTTTCTTTCTTCATACGAAGAGCGTCATATTTACACGAAAAATAAATAAACATTTACAGACGACACAAACACGAACACGAGACATTTATGGTAACTGATCAGTTAAGAAAACAGACGACGCTAACCCGGCGGAGTTTGAGTCCAGACTATAAATGTCTCGTGTTCGTGTTTGTGTCGTCTGTAAATGTTTATTTATTTTTCGTGTAAATATGACGCTCTTCGTATGAAGAAAGAAAACTGTCCTTGTGCAGCCTGATGATGGTGTCACACAGACACCGAAACTAGTTGTTCTAACAACAAATTTGGATTGCTTAATAGCAGGTATTTGAACCTTTTTTAATATTCCATTTTTAAGTTTTTTACCTAAGGCCCAAGGGAACGGTCCAAACTCAGGTCATGTTATTGACGACGTATTTATGAGATAATATAAAATTAATCGATACCCCGATGACAAATGGCATCTGGGGCATCTGGTTAGAATCGAGCCAGTTGATTTCAGATTTGAAGGCGAGCACTATTACCTTTCGGCTATTCTGACAACTAGTCGCATAGTTGGTATCGTAGCTAGTATCTGTTCGGTAACAATATCAAGCATTTTACACCATTTAACCATTGATTAAACATACTCCCTTTTTAACTCAGTCAGATATGCATATTGTGTTGGCCAATTTCACCGCGTACTACAGGTTGTCGCGTGTCCATTAAGGGCGAAAATCGCGTGCACTTGGCACCACAGTATTGAGTTGTGAAACTTTATCAACAGTTGTTAAATGTAATGAGTTGTAAAGGTTAGGTTTTATCACTGGATAGTAATAAAATCGGCGCAACTAGTAAGAAAATCATTGTGTAGTCCAGTTAAGATTTAATAAAGCTGAGTTATTTATTATTTATTGAATTTCCTCTGAATAGTATTGTTTAAAAATGTAACAAGTTGTACAATTTTTAAATAACTTTTTAATCGGTATAATGCGTGTTTTGAATTTTACTGAAAGTAAATAAAAATACGGTAAATATATTAAATATGGTAGTGGTGATCGATTTTGACTGGACACTCCAATTATCGTCAGACCCAATAGGCGAAATTATATTACGATGGGAAATGATGGCTTTGGGAAACTCAGTGGCGTATCCAAGGGGGTTTAGGGGTTTGAACCCCCCTTGACCCCCACACATTTTTTATATTTTTTAACAATAAAAATATGTTTTATGTGCCTCTAAATAGACTAAAAATGCGAGTTTACAGGTATAATTAAACATTTTCCGGGGGGAGAGCCGCCGGACCCTCCCCTTCCCAGCGGGGTATTCCCCCAGACCCCCCCCCCATGTGACCACCCCCCGGGTCATCCTGGGTACGCCTATAGGAAACACCAAACTTCTGTGCTATTTTGCGAGTATATTTTACTCATAAGCATGTTTTAAGAGCTAGTAGACAATGCTACATTATCGCTGTTTCTGTTGCAGGTGGAGTGTACGAGCGTGCGCGTGTGTATGTGATGACTAGTGCAGTGTCAGTGTAAGTGTAAGTGTAAGTGATGAGATATGAGGGAGAGCTGCACGTCAAGTACCTGGGCCGTGAGTACGATGTGTCGAGGTTCCGAAAGTTCCACCCAGGGGGCGCCAATACACTGGCGTGGTTCCGTGGAGGCGACATAACCAAACAGCTGATACAGACGCACCACTCGGAGGCGGCGTACAGCCTGCTGGAGGACTACAAGGTGGACGAGACGCTGGAGAACAAAGATGAGGTGAGGAGCGTTGTTCTCTATACTCCATACACAAAATCTAGGCGGGAAGAAAACTCTCCCTCCACTTGGTCTTCCTACCAATATAATAATAGCTCAAAAGGTGAGGTTTGCCAAAACGTCAATCAGCTGCTACATTGGGCAAAGAAAGTGGTGGGGAACTTCACCTTACACCGCATAAATTTTGTGAAAGGAGGTTTTTTCCCATAATCCGATAATGCTGGTTCGCAAACTCGTTCAAAAAAAAGGTATGTTAACACGTTTCTAACAAAAAAATGGATCAACTGACATATAGATATGGATTCAAACCTCAAACGGATGGTGTTTTTGTCTTCCTGGGGACTTCGAAACAGTAAAGTAAATCGGTCCCAGGTCTAAGTCTTAACTGAGACCTACTGTAATCGCAGCTTACTCCCTATGAGAAATTCGCTAAAAGTTAGTGAGCAATATTCAGTTAATTGTTGCACTATCTACATACTGTATTTTTGTATTTTGTGCACTAGTACAGGATAAACTTAGTTCCTTAAAACTTGTTCATACACTTGTCAAACATGTGTATACTGCGTGTAGCGTGTTCCCTCCTCAGGCGCTCTTGAACAACTTTTGATGTTTTGTTAGTTTAGTTTGTTAGTTTTGTTAGGCCTAGTTTATCAACAATAACAACCATTTTGTGCATTTTTCCTTCTTACTGAAGTAATTATTTTTCACAACTACTGTTTGTATCAATACTCTCGCTTTTAGCGACCCAATGTCGACCTGATTATCGTCGTCATAGGTGTAGTTTGATTTTGTATTATTGTGGAACTAATTTCGCCCGCATTTATGGAAAATAGTTCCGTCAAACTTCATGTCAACTTTGACTCTATATATGTGTGTGTCCGTGAAGACAACAACTAGAGTGGTTTTTGTCCTATTATGATGAAATTTGATTTAAAGGTGTAAGGCGGGATAAACTTGAATGAGCTTGCGCACCAGGGACCATGGGAAAAGAGTTTCACGAGGGGTTTATGGGGCAAAAATTGGGTTTTCTCATTTTGACCCTCAAAATACAAAATGACCCAATTTTTCTCTAGACCTTTTTTAAAGAGATTAAAAAACAAATAACTTAGTACATCAAAGTGTTTTTGTACGGTTATTGGTAACGGAGAAAATTCAAAAAATTGTAAATTTAAAATTCTTATTTTAGGTACTCTTATGGAGAATATTGTAAAATGTTGTAGTAGTTTGCTTGTTTATGGATATATTTTTATCAAACTAAAAAAATTATCTTATGCTAAACTATTAATATTTGACTAAAAACCACACTTTTTCAGTTTCCTTGTAGCAGCAAACCTAGGTACTCGTTCAACCTAATGTTATTTCAATTTAATTTGAAATCAATTCAGACAAATAGAAATTTGCTTAGTCAGCAGGTTTGCTGCCGGGGGGGGGGGGGGGGGGGGTATTTAAAGCCATGCTTCATAGTTTCTTTTTATGCTTCTGGCACTATGTCTTCATATACTTTACTCACTTTTTTAGGTTTAAGTTACTCTTAGCCAAAATCAATTGATCTAAAAACTTATTGTGCACCAACATAATGAAAGTGCACTTTTAATTTGTTTTATCATATTTTCTGCAATTTTAGATCAAAATTTTCATATTATTCATTGTGACCCTTGGTTGGACTATATTGATAAAATAAACTGATTAATTTATCCAACCATAGTTGTTAGTATGACAACTAGTTTTGTTCCTTAGAACTTTGTCGTCAACTAGTCGTACCAACAACTGTGGTTGGATAAAGTAATCATTTTATTTTATCGGAAATGTTCATTTTAAGTTATTAAAGAGATAACCTTATAACATTGTTTAGCTTGATATGAACAAGGTTTATAAATATTTCATACACTGTTACTTGAGTTTACCTAGATTATCTTGATTTCAAGTTAAAAGTTAGACCCCCACTTGAATTAAACGTCTGAGTTTTAACGACCAGCAGAAATACAGTAGTTTGTCAACTCTATCTACTTTAGTGAACAACATTAAACTTGTGTTTCGCCGTAGTGTTAATTAAATTTCAAGTGAGAGCACTTGGCTTTAACTAAATGTACAAACTCCTATAATTAATCTTTCGTCTTATTACTACTGTATCAGTAATCTTATGTAGATTTAGAAGACGTTAAACATTACTGCTGTATTAAAAAAATACTGTTAAGAGTTCAAATTTTATGCTCAGTGTAACTAGAATTTTTGTTTGATTTGTCAAATTTATTAAAACTAACTAGGGTTAGATTTATGTAAAAATCACCTTATTACAAAATCTTATTACAAGTCTTATTACAAAATCACCCAAATGATGTTGTTAAGATAAAAAACGTGCTTCTTATTGTGTCCCGCAGTATTAAAACAAAAGTGTAACATTCGATCCAAAATATATCTAAACTGGCTTGGTATCTTGTATGAAAGAACATGTTTCTATACAAGTCTTGCTGGTAAATTTCTAATTTCAAAAATATTTATACACCACCCAGTTGTGGGGTTTAGCTGGTCTAGCGGATTGAGCATGACACTCACACTTAAAGGTCTGGGTTAGAATCACCAATGGGTTTTAGGGTTTTAGTGTGTGACTAACCCAAGACCTGGTGGTTAAACCATAGATTAAAGGATTAGACATTCATTTTATCTATATTTAAACCTATCTTAAGCAGCATATAAACCTGTTGAGAAAACAAACGAGAAAAAATTTCTCTGAATTCTAGAATCCACTGTGCGGCCATGCACACATTTTTATTACTTGGTCTTTTTTTTTTTTTTGATACCGTAGTCATAAATGCAAATTTCTCTAGTTGAAAATTAATAATCAACACCTTATTTAATCAAATTTCCCATATAGGGAATAAGCTATTGTAGGTCTCATGGTGAAACTTGGACCCAGGACCGATTTTCTTCTTCATTTTGAAGTCCCCAGAGCCCAAGAACACTATCCCTTCAAATTCATATCTAAACATGTGTGTGTGTATTAAACTATTAACATTTAAAATAAAAGAAAACGTCTTTACCTTCCCTGTAGCAGCAAACCTAAGTACTAGTAAAACTAATGTTATTTAAACAGGGATTAAATATAACATTTTAAAGGAGATATTTAAGAGAAAATCCAATAAGCTAATGGAAATTCCCGTAGTCTGCAGGTTTTCTGCGGCGGGGGTATTGAATCTCCTTCCTACTATGCAGTTGTAAACAGTTCACAAAGTCGTTGGAAAGTTTGGATAGGAAAAGTGTAAATGTATTTTCTCCTTTTCGCCCAGTTTATTGGTGCCTTGGGACCCACAATTCTGTGCAACAGAAGGTAAATGTGCCTCGCCGGCCACGTCGTTTATAGCTCGCCCAACACCTTGGTCCAGCACTCGCATTGTTGATTGACACATCTGACGAGAGTTTGTAAAAATTGTAACAGACGCTGACAAATTATTTAACATTTTACTTTAAAACACAGTTAATGATTGTAATTATCATGTTTACATCTCAAAATTGCATTAATTTGAGGGAGTTTATTTATTAATAGGTATTACAACTACTGACTTCACATGTAATCGTATACCGAACCTGAAATTCATGAGAAGATATCGTTTATTTGTAGGATGGCCAAGTTTAAATTTGTAGTAGAGAAGTAGAAGTCCTACAGCCCAGCTGTCGCCAAATTTTATTAAAAAAGAACAGGGCTCCATGCCCTACTAACAAGAGAGTTTAGGATTCAGGTTCAACTACAAGCTTTAAGAAAGAACATATTTATTTTCTTTCATTTATTTTTGTTGAATAACTGAGTCAACAGTGTGATGTCGTTGTTTATTTACTGATTTATATTGATAACACTTTTTTACCAAGCCAAAGAACAACTAATGTCAATGTTACTTATGTGTACAGGAGCAGATAGACTGGTCACAGTCCCTAGTCAAGCAGGTGGGAGGTCTGGGTGAGAGGTATCACTCCTGGGTGGTGCGACCTGTGGACCGACGCGCCAGACTGTTCGATGCTGATTGGCTGGAGCAGCTGACCGTCGTGCAGTGGTACGTCATACCGCTGGTGTGGATCCCTGTCTTCTTCCTGCTGCTTTACGTGTCGCACTTACGACTAGTCATCTATGTGGACTCTCCAGGTACGCTTCCGTAGAATTTGTATTAGATACTTTCAGTGGTATTATTTTAGCTAAAAAGAGGTTGACTCTCTTTTATCCCTGCATTCGTCAGTTCACACGTAATCAGGCCGGTTTGCATGTGATGCGTTCTGGGCCTGAGAGATGATTGCGTCTCTCAACCTACTTTGTAGGGGAATTTTTACCCTCCTTGCGTCCCCGAACCGACCAAAGCCTCTTTGTGAAAGTGGCCCTGAGTACTTGTATTTACTTCCCTCAAAAGCCTGTGTTGATAATATCAAGCAGCACAAGGGCTGAGCCAGTACAAAACAAGAATAATGAGGTCTGAGGTGTATTAAACAATTATTTTACTAGGCACTGGAGCGTTAACCCAAAACATTGTTCACTTCGTTTCACTGTCCTTCGCGCTTTTGACTGAGTTATCGCCCACCTGGCTTTATTTTCGGGTTTACAAATAAAAACATGAAGAGACTAACAGAAGTAGAAATTATAATTGTTGTAGGACCTCTTTTAGAATAAATCACATAAGTATTTTTTCTTTTTTTCTCTTTGATTAACCAACCAAACCTGATGATTAATACGTAGTTCTATCTGGAAACTATTTTGATGATGACCAATGAAATGTCATTGTACCAGTACATAATCTGTCTGTGTCACTAGATGTGTAATATACGTTTTATCAAAACTCAGCTAGAGGTAAATGATCACCCAAAAGTGCCTTGTTTTACGTAATAGGATGGATATCTGATAAACGATTTAACTTTTGTGACAAGTCTTATATGGTAAATATAATTTCCCCAGGTTATGTGCCCTTCTTTTAAACAACAATGAAATTAATTATTTTTATGAGATACTTATTCATTACGTGACTGGGTTTTGGTTTGTGTTACCTACTTTAAATTTTCTGCAATGAGACTATTGTTTGATTTCTTAGTTTACAAACTGACAATAGATAACTAATGGTATCAATAAGACCACTAATCTGTCCCCACCATAAGTTCAAACTCTACTTTTTGGAAGTGACTCAGTGTTTCAGAATTTCAGTGAGAAGCTAACAAAATATTTTTGTTTGAAAACACGAGAGTTGGCAAGTAAAAGGGCTTTTAACAAATTGTTGAGTGAATAAGAAAGAGCCCTTGAACTGTAAAGGGGAATATTAAAGTTGACATTTAGTGGGCGTTGTTAGTCGACAAAAGATAGCTGAAACAATCAGCTGACATTTGCAAACATGGCGTCTAGTGTCTCGGTGGGGTAGAAACTCCTCCGCCCCTCCTCTTAACACTAATGGGCCTTAACGGGTTGATCTGTTTTGTCAATCATTCATATTTTTATTTTTGTAGGTTACTTGGAATTTCTTGAGTACCTATGTTGAAATTTTGTTCAAAATGCTGTGCTTGTACTTTTTTAACCAGTTGCATCAAGATTTATCGTGCCTGAGTGAAAAAATGTGTACCACAGCCTAACAACTTGTAAAAAAATCTTTTATCCTTGAACTTGCATATCCACATGTCCCCCAAACAGTGGCAGCAATTAGGGAAGTATATGTGGGGCAGCTGCCCCAAAAATATTAGGGTTACGTGTCAACAAAAATTAATCTAATGTTCAGAAAATTCATAATTCAATATACAACTTCATGATTTCTGGGTGCTTTTAGACTCCTCTTTTCATCCCCCCTTGTCATAATTCTAGTGGTCAATTGCCATTGGCCTCAAAGACTAGTGAATAGAACCTATCTAGCAAATAAAGGGGTGAAACGAGTACAAAAATGAACTGTGTGTATAAATTGTTGCAACAGGGTGTAAACCCAAGATCATTGTTGACCTTATTCCAAAACCCATGTGGATTATGAGCTACCAATTCACCTAAACTTCATCGAGTTACATTTATTCTTTAAAATCATTAACCAAAATCTTATCTCATAGTTTCAAACATTTATTTTGCGACATGAAGAGGGGTAACTTAGTTTGAAGACACCCCCCAGTGAGGAACATTTATCAACCTTCTCCCGCCCCTGTGTTTCTAATGACCTGATCTGTCAGCTGTTTGGAGCTAAACACAAACATTACACGATTGAAAATACAGAAAAGAATAATAATGATTGATTAATCTAGCTTAGTTTTACAGTATTTCAATAATTATTATTTCAATTATTGTAAAAATTGTTTTCATCAGAGTTTTTTGTTAGTGTTAATGCCAGTGGCATTTTGTATGAATGAATTGAAAATTCTCTTGAGGGGAAGCGTTCCAAACCTTTCCAATTTTTTGTCTGGGATCAAAAGCGTCCCTCTCACACCAAAGTCCAACAAGCTAATCATGAGGCTAGAATCACACCCTTATTAACCTCAAAATTGGTTTTAAGTTTAAGTTACAACCCATTATTTACAGAATGTTCTATAAAAGAGTGTCTTCATATGTGGATTGTGATTTGGACTATAACCTGTGAAGTGTGTTTCAGTGAGAGAGAGTGTGTACCTGAGCGCTGCCGTGGTGGCAGGTTTCCTGATATGGCCAGTGATAGAGTACGCGACACATCGTTGGCTCTTTCATCTCAAACCTCCGGACAACATTCCTATACTTATAGCGATACATTTCTGTCTCCACGGTCTCCACCATAAGGTAAGCTAAATGTTGAAATTATACTGTATTTGTGTATTGTAAGCCTGTAAAAAACACACAATATCGTACCAGTCACATTAACTTAGTGGTCGATTTGTGATGGGATCAAAAGTCACGTTTTACTCAAATTCTCTTGAAATGATATTGCTAGTTTACTAACACATTTATTTTATTGTACATTTCTTTCCATCTATAACACGTTAATGTGATCAAGTTTATAATCTGAATTTGAAGAAAACTTGTCACAAAGTAGCATCATGTGGTTAGAATAAATATCAACACTAGTGCTAATGTTGTGAATTCGCTAGGATAAAACATTCCCTGACTCATATATCATCCTGTAGTGCTATAAATATCCCAATGCCATCCTAAAGTAAACTCTGAAAGGATTATCCAATTGGATACAGATTTTCGGATGAAATTCATGCAACTGTTAAATGAGATAAATAAAATGTAGGCCTATGGTTGTATTTGAAATTTCCTATTCCTTCAATAAAAGAGATTCTAATTGAATATATATTCCCAATGTAAAAGGAATAGAAGGAGTATTGATCAGGATGGTCATCAATCACTACTACACCTCCATTAGTCATTGAGGCTTCCCTCAGATATCCATCACACAACTCTTGCTGTCTGATATACTCAGACTACATGTGACACAAGCAGTATTGACAAGGATAGTCATCAATCACTACACCTCCATTAGTCATTGAGGCTTCCCTCAGATATCCATCACACAACTCTTGCTGTCTGATATACTCAGACTACATGTGACACAAGCAGTATTGACAAGGATAGTCATCAATCACTACACCTCCATTAGTCATTGAGGCTTCCCTCAGATATCCATCACACAACTCTTGCTGTCTGATATACTCACACTACATGTGACACAAGCAGTATTGACAAGGATAGTCATCAATCACTACACCTCCATTAGTCATTGAGGCTTCCCTCAGATATCCATCACACAACTCTTGCTGTCTGATATACTCACACTACATGTGACACAAGCAGTATTGACAAGGATAGTCATCAATCACTACACCTCCATTAGTCATTGAGGCTTCCCTCAGATATCCATCACACAACTCTTGCTGTCTGATATACTCAGACTACATGTGACACAAGCAGTATTGACAAGGATAGTCATCAATCACTACACCTCCATTAGTCATTGAGGCTTCCCTCAGATATCCATCACACAACTCTTGCTGTCTGATATACTCAGACTACATGTGACACAAGCAGTATTGACAAGGATAGTCATCAATCACTACTACACCTCCATTAGTCATTGAGGCTTCCCTCAGATATCCATCACACAACTCTTGCTGTCTGATATACTCAGACTACATGTGACACAAGCAGTATTGACAAGGATAGTCATCAATCACTACACCTCCATTAGTCATTGAGGCTTCCCTCAGATATCCATCACACAACTCTTGCTGTCTGATATACTCAGACTACATGTGACACAAGCAGTATTGATCAGGATGGTCATCAATCACTACTACACCTCCATTAGTCATTGAGGCTTCCCTCAGATATCCATCACACAACTCTTGCTGTCTGATATACTCAGACTACATGTGACACAAGCAGTATTGACAAGGATAGTCATCAATCACTACACCTCCATTAGTCATTGAGGCTTCCCTCAGATATCCATCATCACACAACTCTTACTGTCTGATATACTCAGACTACATGTGACACAAGCAGTATTGACAAGGATAGTCATCAATCACTACACCTCCATTAGTCATTGAGGCTTCCCTCAGATATCCATCACACAACTCTTTCTGTCTGATAATCTTAATTAGGTACTGAATCAATAATTCAATACAATGAAATATCCTATACTGAATTTTGGTTTTGTTTTAGGTGCCTTTCGATGAGCGGAGGCTGCTGTTTCCCCCGGTGCCGGCCGCTGCACTGGCCTACCTTGTGTACCTTCTGTACAGCGCCATCTTCCCACCCTGGGCAGCAACCTGCGTCGGTGCTGGCACCCTCGCAGGTAACCTAACTCAAAATTATTTAATTAATGTAGGCGTTGAAAAGAATTAATGCTGATAACTCCCATAGACGTTACATCATTCACTAATTCATTTCATAAGTGAACCTCTGGCTTTTTGTATTAGTAAATGTTAGAAAATTGATTATTTCTCTGACCTTCTCAAAATTTCTAAAATTATTCCAGTATATAAAAAAGGTAACAAAAATCTTCCTAGTAATTATCGTCCTATTTCAATAGCGAAAATCTTTTCCAAAATTTTTGAATGTCTCATGCATTAACAAATTAATGAATATTTTGAAAACAACAATTTATTTCACAATTTAATTCACTATTGTTGTTAATATTTTAAGAGCTGAATTTGACCAGGCACTTATACAGTTATGATTTGACTTTTGCAGGTTATGTAATGTACGACCTTATCCACTACTACCTTCACTACGGGTCTCCCAAAGAAGGCACATACCTGTACTTCATGAAAAGATATCACAATCAACATCACTTCGTTCACCATAATCATGGTAATTAGAACTGCTTAGAAATTGTCTAAACTCTGATTTAAGTTCTGATTAAAAAATAAACTCAAACGTGATGAATAAATGCAGAGGTATTCAGAAACTGTTTAGGTGCTCTTGCACCAAATGAAACATGTACAAAAAAAGCTTGAATAGTTTATTTTGATTTTTTACAACTAGAGTGTGCTATAAACCGTGCAACAAAACTGTGACGTTTCCTAAAGCACTTTCTTAGCTAATTTGTATTACAATTTTATAATCTATTGTTTAATGACAATCATAATTGACCGAAGTTTGTGTCAATGGAATAGGAATTAAATAGAGTTTTACTGTAACACACTTTTCCTCCACTGATAGTTATTTCTTTTGTGTTGAGCCACGACTTATTTGAATGGTTATGTTTTAAAGGATTTAATATGTTTTGCATAAATATTAAAGTCACATGTTCCGCAGGTTTTGGCATCAGTAATCACTGGTGGGACAAGGTTTTCAACACGGGATTGTCTCTACGCAAGCTCAAGTACAACATGAAATGGTGACGGCTTGTGTGTCAGATACTCGTCGTACGCTTGCTTTGTTCCAGTGCTGTCGATTATTTATTGTAATATACATCTACGCTATTCACTGCCTTTGTTATTATGTTGTTTTCCTCTTTGTTTCCCCTCAAAGAGCAAATATATTGTATATTGTAATGTAGACGTGTTTTATTCTTGAGCCATTTTAGAAATGTTCTTACCCGGTTAATTCTGGAAGGACTTTATTTTTTTAGCGGATTATTAAGTCTCTAAGTAACTCATACTGTGTTGACATTTTTTTATTTTTTTTTCACTGAATAACAGTATAAACAAATTAATAGTGATAATTGGATTGTTGTAAACTTTAAACTTTTGTTTGAAACTTTAAACTTTTGTTTGAAACTTGTGTTGTAAACTCCAGTACTTTACTTTATAGAAAGGTATTTTTGTTCATACCGTACTAAAAAACAGCAGTTTTCAACAGGTGAGTTGCAGGACTGCAGTAGTTGTTCTTTACATTTCTAGGTTCTGGTTCTAAATTTTTTTTCCATTGAAGACGGACATCTAAAGTCCATTGAAAAACATTTTGCCAGAACCGTGGTTTCTTATGACAACGTTATGGGTCAAAAGATGACTGTGCCCCCGCCCCCCCCACCGGATGTGGGAACTTGCGCCCCTAAAAAACCTAAAACCTCCTGCGCCCCAAAAACAGCCCTGCATTTCACCAGCTGACTTCCCAGCAGTTCTGACTAGAGCCGTGCAGCTAATGCTGCTATTTGAATTTAATTGAGCTTAGGAATCACCAGATAAATTATAAAGAACATTAATAGTAGACTGTTGGCAATCTTTAAGTAGTAAAGAAGTAAATTTAAATGTAGGCCTACTAGGTGGCACATTGTCGACTTACCTATGACTAATTCCAGATGATAATTTTCAAAATTCAGTTACAGTACTATCCAATCAAGCCGGTTATCAATGTTATCATACAAATATTAAATGAGTCTGTGTGCTTCATTCTTGATTAAATAATGAAGTATTCATAATAACAGGCGTACAAGGAGTTTTTCCCGAATAGTGTATCCCGGATAGTCATGTTTGGCCCCCCTCAATATGTAATTCAGTAATCCACCCTTCTACATAACTTCCTTATTTAAATGAAAAGGTTGTGTCTGTCCAGTGTACTGTATTCCATACATTATAATTAGGTATATAGAACAATGAACAAAGATTATCAAAAACAACATTGATTCACAGACTTACTCCGTTATCTAAACTGAAGTACAATTTGTTACACATGAATATCCGGTTCCCCACCTAGGCTATATGATGTCTATTTATCTATATATTATTTACGTAAGCCGATTCTTTGCGTCAAAATTGTGGGCGACTGGGAAGTCGTAGAAAGACGGGAGAGGGCTCAAATTAAAGGTCTCGATCCTGTGATGGCAGGAAATATAGTGAAATTCCCTCAATTTTAACACAAAGCTAGATATAACGTGAAATGTTCTCCATAAGAATAGCATTAGAAACCATTTACTGCTGATTTTTGTTTACCGGTACTTCAATACAGCTGATCGCGATTTATCATCAAGCCAGTAAGCAATATTACATTTGGATTACTCATTTGCCAGTCAATTCTGAAGTGTATTGTATACTATATAATACCCCCGCCGCAGCAAACCTGCAGACTAAGCAAATTTCCATTTGCCTGATTGGATTTACACTAAAATATCTCCTTAAAAATATCACATTTATTCCCTATTTAACCCTTTGAGTGCCAACGTCCGGGGAACCGGACGTTTTTAAAACGAGCCAAAAGTGCCGACGTCCGGCCGACCAGACGTTTTTAGAACGAGCCAAAAGTGCCAACGTCCGGCTGACCGGACGTTTCGTAATGATCGAACAGTTGTCATAACAACCGAATGGATACTCGGATTCTTTTAACCCATATATTAACATTGAGTCGAAAGTTACTAGATGCAATACATCGATTTTCGTTGGTCGAAATATCGAAAATTCGATTTTTACGAAATTTTAACCTAAAAATCGCCAGATCGCGCTCGGCATTTTTAGCGCGACCTTCGGGAAAAATCATCGGCATTTTTTGAGCGTTACTTTTATTTCTCGCCTGGCACTCTAAGGGTTAAATAACATTAGTTTAACCCTCCGAGTGTCCCTAGTTTTGGCAATGTTTGCCTATTTTTTGCGCATTTGCAAGGTTTTATTAAAACGGATCTCAGAAGCTTAAAAACAATGTTAATTATACTGTTCTATATACCATTTTGTTTGGAAAATCATGGGCTTCAATATTATACATAAAACATAAGGGACATTCGTTTCAAAAAAATTTTTAGGTAAAAAAAAAATATTTTGGAAAATAAAAAAAATTAAAATAAGTTCACGCTCAATGAAATTGTATAAATTATAGGCCTATAAATATTTGAAAATAGCCACTTTGTTCAGAATTTTATGAGGATTCCAAAAATATAATAATATAAGGAAGATTTGCAAATAAATAATGTTATGGGCAAAAAACAGATTTCGGTACATAGCATTTAGCTAAGAATGCATAGCCTAACCTTAGCTAGGAATCTGGCTGATAATTTACATCAATATCACTACCTACTTCTTCAGGATCATCAACCAGCCCTTCAAAATCACTTAAATCTTCTTATAATGCACCACGTATATCACTACTTTTGATTTTTAACACTAAAACAACGATAAACGTAATAAAACACACCAGTCATCGGTGCGAGGTTAACCAAGCTGTTTACAAATACGCACGTCAGCTGTCTGCTACAATTATGATCGGCTTGAGAAAAAAAAGCGCTTAGAGACAGACCTCGGGAGAAAGCTTAGAATCTGCCAAATAAAACGATACCTAACTCGATCCAGTTCTTTTATTTTCTCTTATATTTTCTTTTCTTCAGATTTCAATGAATAGTTATTTTGTGTCGAATGTTCTTACTGACAGGAAACTGTTTATATAAGTTTTGATTTGGTTATTTACCAAGGGACGGAGAACGCTCTGTTGTAGTGTCGTATCATAGATGAAGCACTTCATCTATGGTTGTATCAGTTAGAGTTGTTTTAAACTCATCAAGCCCTTTAGGTTCGTTAGCTCATGATTAGCAGATGTAATCTTTTAAAGACTTGCTTGCTTTGAGAGAATTGCACAAATAGCTTTCACCATACCTAATTATAAGGTATTTTTTCTAAGTTTTAACACCCCAAAACATACAGCGTTTAAACCTTCCAAACATTTGTCGAAACAACCTTGGTACGTTATTTTAGCCAACAACCTTGGCTAAAATAAGTTCAGCCGCTATTGAGTGATAGTGTTAGAAAGTTTGCATTGAAGTCGATCCCAAAGAGCTTCGATTCGCTCCGCTCAACTAATTACCTAAGCAGATTTAAATAAAACTAGCTGTTACCCATGTGTTAACTATTGTTGACATTGACACTTGAAACCATCTTTACTTTAGACATTAACATTGTATAGACAAAGGCTGAAATAATTAGATGCTTGCATGTTGATGTTTGAATATAGAAGAACTTTATTCTTATGATTAGTGGTAGGGAGCACAGCCCATAGAGTACAACTACTTGAGAACAAGTTATAAGGCACATATATTACAAAAACTATTGATTGGTTAAGTTAAGCTGAAATAAACAAAACAGAATACAGGAATACAAACAAATAATCAAACCTGATTTTAATAAGGTAATAAATTGAAAGAATAACAAACAAGTACAGATGAGGTATTTTTAACATTAGGTATGTGGAAAGTTCCCTTTAGAAAGGAATTACAACATTACAACCTTAATTGCCCTTTATGAAATAATGGATAGTTTTGCGCAAGGGTTCTCGTCATGACGAATATTAGGGGTGTGACTTTTAGTTTTCTCAAAAGTTCATGAGTAGCCTACCGTACTTTGGGATTTATATATGGATGAAATATTATGGAGTAAAGTTATTGTGTGAATTACACAAGAAATGAATTGTTTGAAGAGGAAAGTTTGTTTAAACGGTTAGTTTCTGTTATCTCTTGTTTACTATTATCTGTTTTTAGTGTTTCAAACACTCAATGAGTTAGCGACTGAGATAGTGCAAGTCATGGATTTTAACAGAGTTGGTGTACAATTGTGGACAAGTTTTAGTGACCTTCGAGTACCATAATGGACTGAGTAATGGAAGGAGGAAGGCTATGCTATAACTATCTGTCAGACTTGTGTTTATCTTATCTCAAGGTCATCTCAAAATACTGCAATCGTCAAAACTCCATAGCTGCACAATCACTGTTGATTATTTCTTACATGTTTTTTGTACATTTAGACTTTAAAGTTTGCTTGCTTGTTTGGTGCATTTGGTATACAGTATATTAAATCCAAACAGCTACCTCTCTGTGGACAACCAATTTATATTTTGATGGAGTATTGTAAAATTTAAAAATGATCAAATAACAACTTGAAAAAGTATTAAAAAAGTATGGAAGCAGACCGTATATAAATTTTTAATCCTACCTGTGTCAGGCTAAAGTAATAATACAGTATTAAAAAATCTAATATTACACATTTAACGGACACTGAGGTATAAATCTACCAGCTACAGTAAAAAATATTTTTACTTTTATTGCCTTTTATTTAATTTGATAAAAAGTCATTTTGGTTTTTGAAAAAAAAATTTCATTTGAAATTTGATGTTAAAAAATATTAAAATGTAAATGATAACCTCCTCTACTTTCTGTAAATGACTAGGTTGTTGAGAATTCCGTTGATTTCCAAAGACTCCAACACTTTTGGAAGGAACTTTGCACAATATTCATCATTGTAATATTTTCCAAAGAATTTGTCAACTTCAGATTCCTTATCATCAGAGAAGAAACAAGAAAAGTCCATCGGATCTGGGTGTACAAGACCAGGTAGCAAACAACTAGAGATATACAGAGCCAATGGACTAAAACTTCTCACCTCTGCCATCATCTGCTCATATGTTAGTCTTTCATCACAGTCGAATTGCTTTAGATTTTCGTTAAAACTGTCAAGATATATTCTGTACAAATCGTCCAATCTGTTTCTCTTCACATCAAAATTTGCACTAGACCAAAGGAACATCGTCAAATCAGATATAGGCGACCCATATGATGTCCCCTGGAAGTCAATGATCTTGATGTCGCACACCGTGTCGTTCTTGTCGTACCTAAACATCATGTTGGTTATCCATGGATCTCCTTGTTTGATCGTCTTAATTACTTCACCACTTAGTTTGTGTGTTTCAACTAGAATATCCCATAGATGCGGTGTAATGTCTTTTACTGTGTCTAGAAATTCCTTTATCGTAACCAATTTCTCCATTTCTTGGATAAACCTCTTCATCCCACCATTAATCATGGATATAAACAGGTCTCGTACCTTTGAATCATTCGAGAACATTATTTCTTTTTTAATAGGCTGCAATAATTCAGGATGCTTTTTGAAAACCGCAACAGACACCGAGTGAAATGAAGCCGCTGCAAGCATATAGAGGCGGCAGTGGTCAAAGTCTAACAGCTTTGTTCTATCAGCCATAACAAATCCTTTTTCTTTCAAGTCTTCAAGTATTGTCACAGTTGATTTTGGAGAAAAGAAGCTTTTGGCGGCAAAATTAACATCACAGAACGCTTTTGCTTTTGGTATAAAGTTATAGTAGAATGAAGGTTCCAACAGATTGAATTCTGTTGACAATTCTTTCATCGGCCCTTCAGTAAGTTCATTTTTGACAATGAATCTTGAAGTCTTCACCACAGAATCATCTTGGCCCACTCTCCACTCCAGCTCAACTCTGATGATGAAGCTCCCGTAGTTGTTGCCAGGAGGAACAGCTGATGAAGTGGTCAAGTTTGTTACCACAATGTTGTCGTTGTTTTCTTCTTTACGGAGACTCTGCTCAAAAAATTCTTTTGTCACCCATTCGGGAAGTGACGACTCCATCTGTACAAAAAGGAATTTCAAGGTTTTAACTGTTATGCTTTAGGTAGGCTATATTTATAAATAAAATACTCCTAGTACCACCAGTAGACAGTAGCATAGACTAACCAACACAATTAGACTTTTCATCCCATTGTACATTTTTAAGTTTGTTTTCGTGTCTTTGAGCGTCTAGTTGTACGGTGACACTGGGCGCTAGTGTCAACAAAATTTTGTTCCTAGTATTTTAGGGTTAATTTCTTGATTTGTGCTTTACTGTTTGGTTATATAACTACGGGACGGGTTACTGTTTATGATTAGATTGTATTATTTGCCTAAACAAGGTTTTAAATTATTGAAATAACAAGAAACAAATTGTAAACAAAACACGACCTCTACAGTACACCGTACAGAACTAACGATAAAATTGTCTTCAGCTGTTTCATAAGGATGAGAAATCTACTAAGAGAGTTTGTTTTATCTATGACAGTAGTGTAGTAGTAATACTCAATGGGGATTTTCATCTAAAGCCGGGTTTTCCTTGGCGCGGAAGTGGAGCGCAAAGAGAGGAACGCAGAGAGCGGACTCCCCTTGTCTTAGATAATTTAATGTTACTGTTTGCCTAAAAGCGGAGCAGAATCCCATGTTAATCGCTTTTCTGCTCTCCGCCCTCCGCTCTCCGCGCTCCTCTTCTGCGTCTAGGAAAACCCAGCTTTAAGGGAATAAGCCATAGAAAAGTGGCAGTGTCTTCAGCCAGGAGTTTATCAATCCAAGTTTGAATCAAATACGGATGTGGAGGAGTGATATGTTTGTACTTGAGACCATCTGAGTTATAGCCATGGTCATCTAACTATGAAGCTGATAAGGATCACAAAGTTGAGAAATCGTAAGCCAAATGAAAGCTCTATATGAGAAATTTCTCAAAAAAATCAGCTGTTACATTTTTTGCCGTTTATAATTGTTTTGTTTACTTTTTCTTGAGTTAAATCTTTGATCCTCATTATAGATGGTTGCATTACAATAAGGTTATAATAGTTAATTGAAATAACGAAGGCGGTTGGGGATGAGGCCTACCAAAGACAACACGTTTTTTTTAGTGTAGCCTTGGGCCTACCTACCGCTTTGATTCTGCCACATAGTTGAAAGGAAATATAAAAGAGATTTTCATTAAAATAAGTAATAAGCAATAAGTTCAATTGAGCTTTGCCTGTAATCTGTGGTTTATAACTGTCATTTTTATGGTATAGCCTCTGGATCACTGATTTTAACAATAAAAGGTTTAAATTACCTGTATCCGTCAAGTGATCCTGGTTTGTAGTTGATTGACAACTACAAACCAGGATCACTTGACGGATACAGGTAATTTAAACCTTTTATTGTTTATAACTGTGTTTAACAGTATATTTAAACACACATTATTCTTTTCTATATTCCCACCCTGTTGCAGCTAGTTAAATTAAAGCTCAATAATCAAGTTTAGTTTTGAAACTTAAAAATGGCTAAGCATCTCTTGTTGACCGTATTGATCTTTGTTTACTTGGCATACCAGCAATCATTGCAGAAAGTTATATGCAGCAAATTTTTCGTTTATCGAGAAAAAAAGGCAAGCGAGGGACGTGTAATCAAACCAAATTTTAACAGGTTGTCCAAACTGGAATCCGGATATAATACGTTAAATTTTATGGTAAAAATCCCATTAACTGTACCCTACCTTAATTGTGGAATAATTGCCAGTAGTAGTATATGGCTGAACCTCCAATCAACACCGTAAAATTGGTTCTCTTGATTTCTTATGAAATCGTAACTGCGGGAGGCGATCACGGTATCGCTGAGAGTGCAAAATATGTCCACAGGTTTTGCCACCACCGCGAGAGAAAATCATCGGTCTTCACTCTAAAGAATATTATTTTTTTAGAAGACTATATTATTTCATTTTTTGTCGGTTCGGAAAAAATCCGTTTGGGCCGGATGTGGCCTACGCGGGGTCATAGGTTGGAGATCCCTGATCTTAAACGTCACTTTCTTTCATCTTTAGATAAATCTTGTCAATGTTGGTACAATGTAACAGAGTCTTAGTAAACAGTCATATTCCAGTCACATCATTTTGTGAATAACATTGAGACACAACAATTTTTGTTGAGATCATGTTGACATTAATATTTATTAAATATCTTTTAAAATACATCAATCCTGTCGATCGGTGGAATAATTACATTTTCATAGTCAATCTATCATGACACCTTATTATTTATTTAATTGTAGTACCTGGGGACTGAGCATTGCTCGGAAAAAATCATTAGTTCACTCTGAAAGCAGTCTTAGTATTGGAGATACATAAATCCACTCCCAAACTCAACACGGCTCGCCTTTACTACGTCCTACACCATTTCCTACGTCATGGACCTGTTTCCCATAGCACTTTAGGATTGTAGATACCTTAATCTAATCGTTATTAACAGTTCCCACACCCCGGACAGCACGCCTTGACTACTTCCTTCACCACTTCCTACTTAGCGAACCTGTTTTCCTCCCTTCCCATAGCATTTTAAGATTGCAGATACCTTAATATAATCCTCATAGACAGTTCCCACACTCCAGACTACTTGCCTTGACTACTTCCTTCACCACTTCCTACGTCGAAAACCGGTTTCCCTCCCTTCCCATTGCATTTAAAGATTACAGATACCTTAAATTTAATCGTCATAAACAGTTCCCACGCTCCATACTACTCGCCTTTACTACTTCTTTCACCACTTCCTACGTCGAAAACCTGTTTCCCTCCCTTCCCATAGCATTTTAGGATTGCAGATACCTTAATCTAATCGGCATAAACAGTTCCCACACTCCGGACTACTTGCCTTGACTACTTCCTTCACCACGTCTTACGTCGCGGACCTGTTTCCCTCCCTTCCCATAGCATTTTAGGATTGCAGATACCCTAATCTTATCGTCATAAACAGTCCCCACACTCCAGACTGCTCGCCTTTTAACTATATCCTTCATCACATCACTTCCTAAGTCACGGACCTGTTTCCCTCTATTCCCATAGCATTTTATAATTGCCTTTACTACTTCCTTCACTACTTCCTACGTCGCGGACCTGTTTCCCTCCCTTCCCAAAGCATTTTAGGATTGCAGATACCTTAATCAAATCGTCATAAACATAGATCCCAGACTTCGCACTGCTACCCTTGACTACAATGTATCGAGTAATCTTCAGTATAATCTTTGCTAGATATTAACAAGTGATTTTTTTTCTTTTGTACTGTATTTGTAATTTGCTAGTATACTGTGGGTAGTTGGATTATTATGAACACATGCTACAAATTCAAGTCTGTTGTTTACTTTTTCCTTGCTATTTAATTCAGCCAACATGGTTACCTAGCAACTTATAAGACTAATGTTAAAAAAATGTTATTTTCAGTTTCATTTTTCTACGTAATTAGATTTTTGTTGGCAGTTCTAACTGCAGTAAACTCGTTTTTAGGCCAAAAATAAACTATATACAACATTTGAAGAAAATCGTCGGAGCCGTTTTCGAGATCTTGGTGCAAGCATACATACATACATACAAGCAAACTTTGCTCGTATTAGAGTATAGGATTATTTATAGTTTTCCCAGACCTTCAAAACATTTGTTTAATAGAAAGTATTTATTTTAAAAATGTAGACAGTTCTGCACAATCTTAGCTAAAAGATGGACAAAAGACATTTCATATTGAGAGTTGAGAACAATATTTTGTTTAATAGATTGAAATTTTCTTTTAAATTTTATCGGCTTTTTAAATAAGTTGACAGTCTAACTCATAAAATTGGCTTCTGTTTAAATGAATTACACTTTTTGTTATATTTTGTAAATGCTACATTTTTTTTAAGCTGATGGGAACCAAAGAATGAATCAAGAATCATGCTTATTATTTGTGTAATATATGAGATATTTAAGAATGCCTACTAATTTACCTTTGTGTCAATGTATCCACAGCCCAAGTGTTAGTTGTTGTCACTGAGCTGACTCAAGGGAATATGACATCACTAGAGACCACTTTTGGCTAACCTTCAAACACAATCATGAGTGTGGGGAGTGGTTCCACCAAGCAGTTTACCACTTCCATTCAACAGAGCCAAGTGTGTACCTTGACTTGGGTAAATATTAGAAGAGTCTAAATTGTATTTATGGTAGTAAAAGTATTGCTGGAAAGAAAATTTATCTGTGCTATCAAATCAAAACTGAGATTTAAATTTAATTTAAGATTTTTTTTTTTTCATAAACCCAATGGGGTTTGTTTTGTTATTATAGACACAAAGTTGCTTAAGTATTACCATTTTTAAAAAGCAAATAAGTTTAAAATTAAGTTTTCTGTCAGAAATAAAAGGCTGTAAAATGTTCAAATCACACTGATACTTGGGATACTTGTACTTATATATTTGTGTATAATGCACATTTGCACACGTTCTTCTCAACACAATGGTTGAGTGTAGAATGAACTGACAAATATTTTGTAGTATGCTGAGAAAATATTCACTGGTATGTAGCAATTAATTGAGATTAATTTAAAGGTATTAATATGCAGGCTTTCAGTTGAATACAAGTGTGGTTGTGTAAATAAAAACGGTTTCTTTATTCATTTTGTTTATTTGCAACTCTCACACAACACCAATTTGCTTGACAAATCTACAAACGAACGAGATGATATAGCTGAACTTTTAAATTTAAACAGCCTGCAGATATTCTTCTATCAAGCACAGTAACTTGAAATTACCTCATCAAAGAGCATTACTAAAAGATTCTTTGAATTCAAAGAAATTTATTTCTATATTTCAGCTGGTAGTTTGTTACATATTTTGGCACCATAACTACTGTATAATAATAATAATAATATTTAATAATAATTACTTCAAAATCCGTAATATATTTGATATAATATAGTTGATAAGAGTGAAAACTATTATTTCTCATCATATCCCTATTATTTGCATTGTGTGCGCTATTAATTTCATTGTGTGCACGATCTCTTCGAGAAATATCAGTAAAATTACAAAGACTAAAGAAACACAGGCTACTATATGAAAACACAAAATCTCTTGCTTACATTTTAAACAAATGACATTACAATATTTTACTTAAATTCTCTAAAACATCAATAAAACATGCTTTGAAAACATAAAATCCTATCACAACACAAAATCAAACGTACCGGTAAGTCATTTTCTTCTTTAAATGTTATACAAATAGCGTTACAATATTTTACTTGAATTCACTGAAACATCAACTAGATAACCCCATTTTCGTATGGATGTAAACAAAATTGTATTATGGCCATCTATTTTGATATAAACAAATGTAAACTTGAAGCAGTTCAGATGATTGAGAACAGAATTCAGCACAAACTCTGAAATGTTAAAAGCCTGTGGGACGAAGGGCTTTCACAAGATATCATCAAAACCCACAAAAGGCACATCTAGAGAATAAGAGCTTTAACCCTTTGAGGACAGGGTAGCTAAAAACATTTAAACTATGATTTTTTCCCATGTTGTATTACAAATTAGGGTTGTCTAGAGTCAAAAATATTTTTTTCAAATTTTTTTGATTTTTACATATATGTTTTTTAAACATGGTACTTTTAAGTACCGTTGGTCCTCTGCGCCATTTTCATAGATTATATACCTGGTACTTAAAAGTACCGTCAGACCTCAGCAGCAAAGTATATGGGTTCCTGAAATAGTACCAAAACATTTTACAAGCATAATAATATTTAATTAATTACCGAGTTATGAGCCAAGTACATACATTTAAATACAAATTTTGAAAAAGTGGAATTATATTACTGAAGGGTTCTTGATAATTGAATTTAATCTACATTTACTCCATGAAACTCAGCAAAACAGTTCTTTTTGTTGTTCAAACAAAGGATAATTTGCAGTGATTTGATTGCACTTGCTGTATAGCCGAGACTGAATTTTCCGTTTTGCACAGACTTCTCATCTTTCTCTCCAAAAATACAGAGGTAATTTTGTACAGCCTTCCCTAGGTTATGTAAGGTCCGATTACTATTGGGATCAGGCCTAAGTATAATAACCAGATAATCAGCCCAACCTAACTCTGCAGAGCGCTGTATGAATGTGGCTTCTGTATTGTTTGAGTTGCAAAACAAAATTTGACCAAGTAAAAGGTTACAAACTTAGTATCTGAGAAGTGTTTGCTTACATTCATTTTTACATCATATATTGGAATTGTCGTTGTATAATCTCTCTTCTCCCATTTGTAATCAGGAACATATTTCTTCTTTTTAGAACAGTCCTCTTTTTTGCTCTTTATTTTTTTCCTGCCTTCTTTACTTTAGGTTTGACTTTATACTCACATCAACTTTCTTTACAGTTCTAACATTTTTTGTAGATTTGTTTTTAGTTTTTTCAGTGTCAATAGGCCTAGCTTCACTAGTTACACTGGTCTCAACAGTTACATTTCCACCACATTCTGGGGTTTCTTCAGCTAAAATAGGTTCAATAGGGCCTTTTTCATGAGCAATCTCACTTTCTAGACTTAGGCCTACCTTGACAATTTCTGTGTTGAATATTTCATTAAAGTTGTTAATAGTTTTGGTTTCATCACTGATTATTGCTACAATTTCTACAAGCTCATTAGGATTAGGCTCTAATAGTATTCATGGGCTGATTGCACATAGAGGAGTAGTAGAGACATCAATAAATCCTAAATCTATTTTACTATTTACATTATGAACAACATTTCTGAGTGAAATATCTGGTTCTTATGAATCTAAATAATTCTTTTCTCCTAACCTCACTTCCTCATTACTGTCATCATCGCCACTCTAATCAGAATTTTCGAAGTTTTCAGGTAGATATTTCAATAACAACTCGTCAATTTCTTGTAACTTTAGTTTTCTATCCATACTGACGGCACCACATAAACATAAAATCACCAAAAATGCACCACAAAACAAATGTGAACTGTACTTTGACAAAACATAATATAATAATAATATATATTATAACATAATATAATATAATTATATATAACATATAATAACGCAACACAATAAACAACACAACACAAAAATGCACCACAAAACAAATGTGAACTGTTACTGTACATTGACAAAACATAATATAATAATAATATATATTATAACATAATATAATTAATAATATATAATAACACAACACAATAAACTTGTTTACATAACATCATCAGCTGGACCATTGACATAGTCAATGGCAGGACGTAGATGTAGATGACTGACGGTACTAATAAGTACATCAGCTGGTTTCGTGATTTGGGCGTAGAAGGCTGACGGTACTTATAAGTTCCAGACCATTATTAGGCTTAATTTCGTTATTCATGGGTTATTATTGGAAAATAACGATTGAATCATTAATATAAAACTATTGTTGAACCCTTTATCACAAAAATAGGACCCAGGGATAATAGGAATATGGATTTAAAAAATCATGAAATCATGACACGTATAATGTTGTTCAGTAGCATACACCAGTCAAGTAAGTGCTGCTTTCTGGTGAGAATATTTCAAACTACGTCCACTCTTGGTGTTTTGCAGAACTACAGTGGTACTCAAAAGTACCTCCAGGCCTCTACATGACTGTAAAACCACCGTTGCCTTGGAAATAGCTATTTATAATTGGTGGTACTTTAAAGTACCGTTGGTCCTCAAAGGGTTAATTTGATACCCAATATGCATATAGAAATACAGGGTTAGTAAAAAGTCTGGAGACACCCTGTAAATTTTTTAACGGCCCATACTAGAAAAACTAAACTCAGTACACCTTTATGGCATGTTATGAAGTACTTTTTGGGCATAACCGCCACTTGGTGTACATCAAAACTCAAAACTTTCAAACGGTAAGACCCATCGAGTGACCCCTCGTTTTGAAGGTCCTGGTAATATAAAACCAACAACGCAAACTAGAGGTCTCTATCTCAATCCAGTAAAAAATGGCAGCGGATTATAGGCCGTTAAAAAATTAACAGGGGGTCTCCAGACTTTTTACTAACCCTGTATATTAAGTGGTCGATTTGCTGCACACAGAAATCCAACACATTCTTTTAATAATATAGACTAGATAACACATTGCTCGAAATCGAGCAAAACTGAAACTTGTATGTAAAAAATAATCAAAAAACAATAAGAGCAAGACCTAAATCAAAGAGTCGCTCTAAAATAATTTATATGACTGATTATAGAAATATAAAAATATTATGATGTAAAAAATATAAAAGTAATCTACAATATTTAAATTTACATTCACTCTCATGCTGCTTTGGTTATCTCTTAGTAGGCACCCGCACTCTAGATGTCAACCACACACTGGAAAAGTGAGCTTTTGACCTAATGTAGCTCAATTCCTCTCTTGACGCCGACCATCGCTACTCTTATTCCAAGATGTATGGAGTAAAAGGTGCTCTTATTCTAGCATTGTTAAATTATTTCTTTGATGTGTTCTGTTTTAGGCGTGTTTAGTTGTGAACATAAGACTAACCCTCTCAAGTGGATCTAACGACAGATCTAGAATTGAAACGCGTTTAACATTATTAGTGTGGAAAATAAACTATACGATTTATTTGGCCGGGTGGTTTTTTGTTTTCAGCTTTAAAAATCGCTGCGAAATCTACACAGGTAGCACCATTGTAGCGAGAGAAGACACTTTTTCTGTCTGTTATTATGTAGCCTACTTAAGAATCTCACTTAATTGACTCCTCGGAGCTCTCGTCCCTACATAATGTCTGCCACAGTCTTCAAAGATTTGCAAATGGGTTGGCATTGTGACCGTATTTCCCGCATATTTTTTATTGCACTTTTTTTTACTGTACTTAGTTCTCCTTTGGGTTCTAGTGACATTGTCGTACTTACTTATATATCTATGCGTATTTAGGATCATCACCTTCTTGAGGAATTAGAGGACCCACTCGGTGGTAAAACGTGTTACGGATCTTAAAATTGCAGATCCCCTGTGGAACTTTCTCATCTTAATGAGCTTTGGA